GACCTCAACTGCTACTGTTAATGTGGTGGTGACTGATGTAAATGACAATGGACCTGTCTTTGATATGTTTCTACCTAGAAATTTGTCTGTTCAAGAAGAAGAGGCCAATGCTTTTGTGGGCCAAGTGAGGGTAAGTTGTTTATTATATGCACAAATATCACAATCTAAAATTTTGAAGAATAAGGTTATAATTTAGAATGACTTAGCTTTAAGGACAAACTTAAGAGTTTTGAGTGAAACCATGTATATGTACATCCCTCATGGGATGAAAATGTATTGGCTAGTAGTCTTAGTAATGGTAAGAATATAGTATATTTTGTTTTGGCTATAACATAGGGAAGTTTGTGAGTGTTTCTTTCCAGTAACTTAATTATTTTTCTTCATGTTTTTACTCCACTATTAGATGTAAAATATCATTTTATTAAATTCACAAATTTCTAGAATTTATTTAATACACTGTTTCTTCAGATGGGAAGCAACCTAGGGTAATGAAAGAATTGGCTGAGGTAATTTCTGATCCATTGGGTATTCTCTCTGAGAATGCTTGGAAGTTGGGTGAGGTCATGGATGACTGCAAAGGATAAATATGATGTCCACTAGGGCTGTGCAAAGCTTCTGGTGCTGAATCAATTCGGAGGAGGTTCGACTCAATTTGGCAGCCGAATCTCCGAATCCGAATTGAACTGGGAGACCAGTAAAAAGGTCTGAATAGATTCAAAGCTCTCCAAATCAATTTGTAAAAGATTTGGAGTGCTTCTGAGAGATTTAGAGATTCAGGACGTCCCCGCTCGCCACCACAGGGAGGTGGACCCAGACTCTGTACCAGTAAGTAGGGGGTTTCATAGTTTCATAGTTTCAGGGTCGGAAGGGACCTAATAGATCTTCTAGCCCGACCCCCCGCCAGGGCGGGAGAACAACCCAAAAACACAAACAAAACCACTCACCCTAAAAACAAAAACGGGACTCAAATGAGTCCAGCCAGGTAAGTATACTTACCTGGATACTTACCTGGCTGGACTCATTTGAGTCCCGTTTTTGTTAGGTGACCATGGAGAGACCCCCACCAGACCTCAAACCTGCTGAGAGACCCCTGCCTGCTGTCCCAGCCCCATCAATGGCGGGGGAAA